CTGGTATTTTAAGAGCACAAGTGTGTGTAGTGTGCCTGTGAGCATATACCTTGTGTGTGTCTGTCATCTACAGCTATTGATGTGATGTTTAACTTAGTCATCTTCATTCTCACAAACCATCTCTGCTATTGTGTATACAAAAGCTTTCATAACACATTCAATACTATAATAGATCAGATCATTGGTTAGCCTTTGTTTTGCCACCCTCGCCTCACTCTTGACAGTTTTGTGGTTAAAATGAATAAAACTGGAGTTGTTTTCTGGCTGCAGAGGATAAAAAGGGGTCTCGTTCTGTGTGTCTAAGGCTGGCTGGCACCTGTAATGTAAGGCGCTCATTACCTTCAATGATGCATTACAGCTTCCTAATGATGGAGCCACAGTAATGGACCTAACTAATGACCGGACTTAAGAAAGAACATATTCTAATAGCTGGAGCAGAACTGGAGGGAAAGTCAAGGTGTCAGTGAGGAGAAGAAATTAGACAGTGGGAGAAGCCTAAATGACTGAGGTCAGACTGCAAGGCTGTGCTTAATACTCTAAGCTTGTTAGTTAAATATTTTGCTTCTGTTTTAAATGTGATTAAGTTAAGGTAGGATTAATTAGATAATTTAGAATATTTGTGGATAGAAATTAAATCAACTTACAGAAAAAGCACATTTGCCCACCATCAAGTGGAATCATGCTTTTATCAGAATTGTGTTGCTGTACAGTAGATGCCCTCAGTCAATAAGCTGTCAAATCTGATTTCAAAGAAGATTTGTTTTGTTGTTTGCCTTAAAACCTGTATTTCCAAAAATGTCCAGTTTTCTGATTTCAAATGGATCACCAAGCGTTTAAAGATTGTCCCCGAATGGGGAAAATGTTTAAACGTCTGGAAATCCTTTAAATAAAACTACAATTGGGAGATTTTTTTATTTAAAAAAGGGGGTTTTGGCACAAAATACTGACAAGTCTGGCTCCTTTGAGTTTCAGTGGATCATATATGATAACTGATGATATATGCATCTATGATTTGCATATTGACCGATGTTATTCCAAGACATCACCATCAGCAACACCCAGGCTTTTTATGATGGGACTTTAAATGACTGATGTTTAGGGCTGCCACCTTTTAGTCAATTAGGTGACTAATCAGACGTTAAGCCCCTTGGTCTACAAAGAGAATCTTAGCTGAATAGTCAATATTTATGGTCTGTTTGTGGAGATCAAGCTATCAAGTCATTACAACATCACAAATATGGTACTTTTATTAAGAGGCCCAGGGTGATGATGGCGCAAAGATAAGATACTTGCCTTTGGTGTGGGAGACCTGGGTTCGATTCCCACTCTAAGACATCCACCATTGTGTCCTTAACCCCTAGCTGCTCCAGAGGCTTGTGACATGTATGGCAATTGTAAGTCGCTTTGGATAAAATTTGACAGGTTTGTCAATTAAATTTACCAATTAATGGGTGGAAGAAATAACCCGAACCAGAAGTTCACAGATTTTCACAGTAAATGTCTATGAGCAAAAGTCCACACGATTAACTAATGCTCTATGATCTGCTTTTCCGTGGGGATACTGGACCAATAAACATGTTGAAACATTTCACCTTTCATGCTTACTTTTGACTGGGTGAGGTGCTGAACTTGTGTTGATGATATGACTTTAACTTTAATCTAAGGTTGTTCACACTTGCTGTTTCTCTTAATTACAAATAAAACGAGCATCCTAAACACAGAACACCAGAGCCGTGGGGTCGACTATTAAAAGCAGAAGTAATGAGATGACTTTAAAGCTGCTGAGACTCTGAACACCACTGTGTTAATGACATCTATTGTGACTTTCATTGCTATTTTAATAACCTCCCAACCACCGCCAACCACACACCTCAAAGCACACGCGCGCACTCACGCCCCCACCACACCACAGTCTCTGCGTGACACACGCCTCTTCTTCCTCATTAAGGAAATCGCTCTTCTTTGCTGATTATTTTATTTGAAGCCGTGATTACCGCTCTGTGCACCAGATCACGCAGTAACGGAGACCAGGCGGAGGGCAGCGGGTCTAATTGGGGCATGAGATGCGCGGGGTGGTGCAGCAAGGCTGGGTGGCCGAAGAGGGGAGCCTCTAATGGGTTTGCCTGTCTGCGGCTCTCCGCTCTCGCCTCTCTCTGCATCACTCGGGCTCGGATGTAACGCACATATTGGTCTGCTTCTTGTTCCTCCGACTGTCATCCAATCACCTGCACAAAACTACTGTGTGATGTGTTAGAGAGCCGTTTCTGCAGATTGGAAAATCGATTATCCTTTTAGATTAGATTTCTATAACTGTGAATGCAGATGCTTGCGAGGCGATAGGCCTGAACACAAGAAACAACCAGTTCACCTACTGTTCCATGTTACAGTTTTGGATGTGGTGCAAAGTATCTTATCCCTGCATCTTCCTTTTGTTACCTGTATTGTTTTAACCTGTTCTGCAAGAGTCCATATGAGCAATGGATTTAACGCAGTTTGATTGCTAAAAAACCGCGGAGAGGGTGGACACGGAATTCTTGATCTTTGAAATTGCTCTACAAAATTGCATTTGTTTTTGCTGCGTTTCCATTAAAAGTGTTTCCTCGCGTGTAAACAGCCGTTCCGCACTCAGATGCGCCGCATTAACCTGGGAGGATTGTATGTGAGTGTGTTTTTACTGGGGAAGATTGATGCGGTCCAGTTAGAGAGGCTGAGTGAGACATAGACCCATTTCAAGTGGGTTCCTCTTATTACAGCAATAAGTTACAGCCCGAGGATCGGACAGCTGAGGGGATGTCTGCTACTCAGTCTGTTTTCACTGCAACAAACCACAATATCAATATTTATCATGTAGATCTTCAGATTAGCAGTAACTATAGCTTTTGATTTTTATACGTGCCTTATCATAAGTGGATGACACTAATATACTAATACTAAAATAACAATCCTAAATACATTTATTATTATTAGTATAGTAGTAGCAATAGTAGCAGTAGTAGCAGTAGTAGTAGGCTATAATTAGTACTGTTGTTGTTAAATCTCTATCTGAATAATTTTTTATCTTCTCTATTTTTATATAGAAATATAACAGGAAATAAAAAGAAAATGGGTACTTATCCAATAATAATAATAATAATAATAATAATAATAATAAATAATAATAATAATAGTGTTATTAGTGCTAATATGTAGGCTACGTTTATTTTTCAATTTAAAAAATTATTAATTTCATCAAATAATCCTGAATTGGAATTTCATGGATTTATTATTTACTAAATTCGTAATTATTTAAGAGTATGATAAATTGCCTATTATTCATATTATTATTAATACAAGAGCTAGTATTTGAGCAAAAATTTAATCTCTCATGGGCTGAGTTCATTTCAACAGTTTTGAATTATTTAGTTTTTAGTTATCTTATGTTACACCAGTTGTCTTCATGCTTACACTAATTGGAAATCAAAGAACTTCCAAAGCATACAGACCGTCTCTCCGGGCTCAAGCCCTTCAAAAACGCAGGGCTGGCCTTACAACTCCCAACATACAGAGTCCCTCTCCTCTCCTGGTCTTCAAGTCTGAATCAAACGAATCGAGGCTGTTGCTGCTGATTGCTTCTCCTGAACCTTCGGGAGCTGGTCACAGCTTTCCTCATCTCAGTGGACCGTGCACCAGTCCATTTCCTTAAGTTTTCACGCTGTGCCACATATAGGCTACTTCCTTGCGTCCCGGCAGATTGCGGTTGAGGAGCATAAAAGATGAGCTGCCTATATGTGGTGCAGGAGGAGAGAGAGGAGTCCTCGCTTGGACGCCTCCTTTGTGCGGCTACAAAGAACCCTATTTAGTCCCAGGCGGTGGTCTATTCACCAGGCTCACCCTGACATCTGCCAAAAGCCCTCTCTAACCAGCACTGTCTGGAGAAGTGAGAGTGGAGCGCAGATCAATTGCTGTCCTGTTAATTGTATAATAGACCTACTTATGGACCTCTGCTAAAGGGGCACAATCGTTTAGGATCTACCACGTCTGATTTTGTTTGAACCAAACAGGCCTAAATACCTTTAATTGCGCCCGCGTTGATGAAAAGTCGATGGGAGTTAAAGCGGCCGATCACTAACAGAGCTTAAATCCATCTGTACTCGTTTATTTATTTATTTCCCCGATTTGTCTCCACAAATCACCTGCCATGAGGGAATGGGAGTGATATTCGTTTTGTTTGTGATCCAAGGACGGGAGGGGAAGTGGGGCTCTGGGGTGCTGAAAGGAGGCCTGGGTGTAATAAGGCTTCTCATCTCCTACATGTGTTTTTCTTTCATGACCAAAGTTCACAGTGTGATATGTACAGAAAACACTCAATCTGATATCCCTCTCAGTAGTCAAAATAAATAAATAAAAACAACAAAAAAATGTATTTTTTTAAATAAATATACAAAGAGTAATCAACCTGAAAATTGTTTTAATTTATAGATTTTTTCCCGCTAATTTGGCAAATAAATCAGCCCTTTCTGAGTGTTGCTGTTTTGTTAACAGGCTAATTGACACAGTCCAGTGATTTGAAAATTGCGATTTTGATATGGCTAATTATTTAATGGCAATGCATTTTCTGGCTCAAATACCTCCTATCTCCTCCAACTAAACTAAACAATTCTGAGCTCACCTCCAGTGTTTTGCATGTATATCTATCTACAGAACAGGAGTCCTGTCATGGCACAGGCTATATGAGATTAAACAAACACATTAAGACATTTAACGTGGAATAATTTAAGCATGAAAAGCTAATAAATCAGAGGATGGAATGGCAGAGGATTGAATTGAATTGTAGTGTTTCGTGCGCGTTTGGGTTTGTGCGCGCGTGCTTGCGTATGTGTGTGTTTAAAAAAAAGAGGGGGGAGTCACGTCGCTGACATTTCCAAGCTCCCGCTCTGATTGGCTCTTATTTGAGGAAGCTCACGGGTTCTTTCAACTAATAAGCGCCTCCCCGTCGCTCTAAAGGACATTATAATGCAAGGGACCTCCTTTTTTAACCACAAACCGAATTTTCGTTCATTTAGACGATATATACGTTTTAAATTGCCCCAAAGTTGTAGGATTTTTTTGGAGCGCGTTTCGCCCTGGAGCGGTACGCCATGCTCTCTCACGCCGACCTCCTGGATGCTCGGCTCGGTGAGTTATCATCACTAAACTCCGGCCCTAAACTCCAGTGTAAGATTTCAACTTCTTATTCAACCTTGTGAAGTGATAGGCTGTGTGGTTAATTGTGTTAATAGCTAAATGGTTTATTGTTGGTCGAAGCAATTCGTTACAGTAATTTATCTGGAATTATCTGACAGCAAAAATGCGCTATAAAATTACTACCCAGGCTATATTGATTTTACTTGTTCTATTCTTTAACTGAATGTACCTCGTTTGTTATAAAGAAGCAAAACTATGTCATGTAGCCTAACTCATTTAAAGATGCTGCGCTTTAAGATTTTGCCATGCATTTACTCAAAGCCTCGTTCTTCCTCACCCTTCAGGGATGAAGGATGCTGCAGAGTTACTCGGACACCGAGAAGCTCTCAAGTGCCGGCTGGGTGGTGGAGTGCAAGACCAGGGGCATCCGGGAGACATGGCCCCTGGTTCAGACTCTGTGGAGGGAACCACTCTCCTGCCGGGAGAAGACATCGCTACTGTGGGATCCAACTCTGCCGGCATGCCTGTGAACGGGAAGGAGCAGGAGAAGCAGCAACAGCAACCGCAGCAGAGCTCCGGACAGACCTCCAGTCAGCAGAAACAGAAGCGGCACAGGACGCGCTTCACCCCGGCGCAGCTCAACGAGCTGGAGCGCAGCTTCGCTAAAACCCACTACCCTGACATCTTCATGCGGGAGGAACTGGCGCTGAGGATCGGCCTCACTGAGTCCAGAGTTCAGGTAAACACTTGTGCAATGTGGGTGATTTTTACCGGATGCAAACTCTGGAACGGTGTGGTAGGGCGTGGCTTTGAGTCTAGGTTTGACCGTATAGGGGATTTTTCAGCAAGATATAAATGTCCAAAAAATCATCCTTTAAATCCATCTTTAAGGTATCCATCCAAAGGCAACTGGAACTGATTTGAACCTTCCTTAGTTAACTATGACCGGGATGTGTGAGAATGTGCACAGACATCAAGAGAGGATTCAGGACCAGTCCCCTCTGTGCGCTTGTAAAACATAGTTTGGTCACTTCTAACAGTCTTTCGTTTACCATAATGCATTTTCAGTCACTCGTCCTGTTATCCCCGGAAATGTTGTGGCTATTAAGTTTTTGGGGGGCAAATTCTTAGAATATAAAAGCTAAGGGGTGGATTGACACCATCTAAGTTACATCAAACCATAATTTAAAATGTACTATTGTGCAGCTTGTCATTAGAATCACTTTAAAATATTGTATTTTTTAGGTTTTTATACAGCACGATATTCTGCCTCAGTATGCAGCATAACAAATGAAAGTAGATTCGTTGGATTCTGATTAATAACACAAAAAACATACCGACTCAAGCCTATTTAATTTAATTTAATGTAATTATATGATTCAAATATCCCATAATATGTTCAAGTTTAGCCTGATACTAACCTATATTTAATTATAAGAAGCCGTGCACCGTCTAATATATCACGTGCTCTGTCCAAGGTGCTGAAACGTTTCTCACCTGGAGAATAACGAGCAGGAATCTGGTGCTTGTAAGTCGAGAAACATTTAGGTGGCTTTTACGATTTTCAGAAAATATTGTATAACGCCACCTGTGGTGACTAACCCCGGAAATAATTAAACTGGGGGTGTGAAAGTTCCTTACTTTTGCCTGATCTTCATTTCGTTTTGTTTCTGTGCAGTTTTAAAATTTGGAACTGCAACAATTGCGTACAGTGTATCATTAAGTCTTTTAGCAATTATTTTTCTATAATATTTTACCATAATAAATATAGCGAATTACCCTGGCCGGGAATTAACAGTGCACTAATATTTTACATATTTTAAGATTTTCAAATCTGATTTTTTTATTCATTTTTTCCCCCAAAACTATCAGGGTGGGATTGTGTGACAAATATTTTTAACTTACAGTGGTGGCATTTAAATTTCTCTTCAATCATTAGTATTTTTGCAAATTGAACATATGAACCACTGTTAAACAATTTAAAGTGGCTAAGAAACACTGTACTTATTTTTCAACAAGAATACAGCAATATACCAGGCTTTAATAAGCCAAACACATTATCAACCAATTTCAGCCTTATTTATAACTGTGAACGGGTTATTAACCAGTGATGTGAAATTCATGCAAATGATCCCACTGAAAGCAATAAAACCAGTATTACCATTAGTCACTTTAATAATCAATTCTTTATTCTATCTAGTGCAGGATCCTACCCGCTCAGTGCAGGTCGGCTCCTGCTCGCTGTTGGTAAACATTAGTGCAGGCCGTGCAGGTGCAGCCTTCAGTGGGCGGGCGTGTTGGCCCGCGTGCGTGCCTCCACAGCCTCTCCTTTAAAATGCTCTATCAGCGACGTCTTAATAGGACTCCAGAATATATTGTACTTTTTTAATGGAATGAGAAATTGCATTTTCTTTCCCCCTCAAGTGTAATGGGTTTGGGCGACGTTTCACGGATGGCTGAGCGGGATTTCACTTTTAATACGCAGGCATCGACTCACGGCCTCGCGCGCGCATTAATCACGCCCGAACATGATGAAATCTTTATAAAGCCCAACAGTGAAGCGCGTGCGTTTTCAGTTGTGTAAGCGAGTCTGTGTGTTTGTGGTTCTCGCGCGTGCTTGGCGATTTTTATATTCACGTAGATTGTGTACAGTAATGCTGGCCATTTGTATTTTAGCCCACACAATATTTAGGGCAATTTTCAGCTAATCTGCTTGTAAATAAGATGTTAGAAAGATAAATTGTTCGACCCACTGCTGCGGAACGGCAGTAATAAAACCCCATCTGACGGCTGCATTTTTATACAGAGCGCCTTCTGCTTATTAGATTTTCTTTGCAGCGAAATTCCTAACCCTGGAATATTGCGTCTTAGAAACACGGAATATTATTTTGACAATAGCCGAATGGCTGGTATATACAAGAAATAACAGCTTCATTTTTTAAGAAGATTTTCTTAGTTATATAGGCTATTCTAATGCAATTTAGAAGAATGAATTACACCTGCTATTTGAACGTAGGCAACTCCCTCAAAGGCTAGTAGTAATGAATAAATTCATAAGAGGTCTTTAGTCCATTTGCAGTAGGATAGGGTATAAATATTATAGACCCTAATGTTTTATTAGAGCCCGATGTCTCAGTGTGGTCAGACTGTGAGATTATCGTGCGGAATAGTATTTTCTCCCGTGTTTACACTAACACATTAGGCCTACTGGATGGACATACTTAACATCCACCTCGCTGTCCTCATCACAGTGTCATGTAAACAGGTACTGCTCCAGACATCATATGTTCCCCAGTATATCCTTCTGAAGGTTCACGGTCCTGTCTCTTTGTTTGCAGGTTTGGTTCCAGAACAGACGCGCTAAGTGGAAGAAAAGGAAGAAGACCACCAATGTTTTCCGCGCCCCGGGGACGCTGCTCCCAACCCCAGGCCTGCCACAGTTCTCGGCCGCGGCCGCCATGGAGAACAGCCTGTGCTCCTTCCACGCCAACGACTCTCGCTGGGCCACGGGGATGCCGGGGGTCTCCCAGCTGCAGCTCCCGCCGTCCTTGGGTCGCCAGCCTGGCATGCAGTCCCTGTCACAATGCAGCCTGGGTCCAGGACCGCCACCAAACTCGATGGGTCTCTCCAACGGCCTGTCCTCCAACGGCTCCGGTCTGCAGTCCCACCTCTACCAGTCGCATTTCCCCGGAATGTCGGCATCTCTCTCCGGCCCCACGAACGTATCGGGCTCCCCGCAGCTGTGTAGTTCCCCGGACAGTGACATGTGGAGAGGGACAAGCATCGCGTCACTGCGGCGCAAAGCGCTGGAGCACACAGTGTCCATGAGTTTCACTTAGTGACTTTTCAAAAACACCCTGCCACACACACCCCTTCCCCTCCCTCTCCCAGCCCCAACATGCGGCTCTTTTTCTGTTTTTATTCCCGCTATTTAGATGACGAGAGAACGAGCGAGCTAATCAGGCCTGAAACGAGAGAAAATGGAGACTGTATGTGACTTCATCTATACATGACAAAAAGGAAAGGACAACTCTGATGGACAAATGGAAGAAAAAACTTGGGTTTGGGGTTATTTATCTTGTTAATTCAAAAGGATTTTATCAACTATTGATGAATAATATTATTGTAATGATCTCTAGACTATAGGCCATAATTACTGAGAGCCAAACAATCGTCGTATTTACGTTTTCACTGAGTGTGTCTATGCACACATGTTATTGTGTTCAGGTGAAGTTGTGTTATGTCAAACGGTTATTTATAAGATTGGGTATACATTTTGGTAACAGTCACACATGCACCATACTGTAGGCAGGCCTATTGAACTGGGTCTCAGGCATGCACTGTGCATGTGGATTTAAACGCTTGGATGATTTATGGAGAAAATGTGCCCACAGTTGCGGTATATTTGTTAGGCGACCTCAGTCTCGTCTGCATGAGACAGGAGCATTCATCTAAAGAGGGAAAAAAATACAAGGATCTTTCAGTAGGCCTACTCTGTTTTTAGGATGTTTTGTGTAGATGAAACATTCTTGCTATGTACCCGCTGGTCTTTTTTGTGACATGTTTTAACTTCTTGTATGTGCTATTACTTGACACATTTCTTAAATGTTTGATCTTACATCGAAATGCACCACATTGACGGGTTTGTACCAATTTAAAATGAAAGAAACAAATAAAAGTAATTTTCAAGAATGTCAAAACAAGAATGATTCATGTCTCTGATACCCTTGTTGTAGGGTGTTGATGGTAGCCTACTTATGAAGATTTCATTGTATTTTTAAATATATATATATTCCTTATTTCCTTTTCTCTTTATTATTATTTATTTTTTTACAGTGTTTGAAGTGACAGGGTTAAAGGGTTTATGAAGGGTGACTGGTCCCATGGTGGCAGACAGAAGCAGTAAAGATGTCAGTGCTGTGATGTGACGGTCATTGCTTTTTTACCATGACGGTCATTCCACTGAGCCGCCTGGATGGACTGTAACTAAACAGGAGGAATCACAGGCCTGTGTGTGTCTGTACTCTATAGTATATATCAGCCTATAGTTTCTAAAGCTTCTATTTTAGGGCTGAAGTTGGCATGTGGCATGTTGAAATGATATAATCAATTAGTTCAATTAGTTGCAACAAACTATAAATATCTTGTAGTATCCAAATGGGGTTATTATAGGTGTGCCAGAGAAGATTAACAGGACACACAGTTCTTAGAGTAATGTTTCAGAAATATGATAGCAACTGGAACTCCACCATATTTTAGATAATCAACAACCCTATTAGACTATATCAACATGTGTCTGGGTCAAACTTAAATCTGAATTTAGTCTGATATCTGCAGGTCACTCCTGTACACAATGCAATTGGTGCCACAAGGAAACAACTGTATTATTCATTTGTGGGCCTAAGTACAGTGTTTAGGCCACACAGCAAAACTGCAGTGTCATACTTTGGTTTAATCAGGCTATCTTCAAATTTAAGTCACTGATGGACCAGCACAGAATCACCGTGTAGCTTTCACATTATTTTTCACACAAATTAGGGATCGACCGGTTTGTATAGTCCTTTTGCTTTGTTATCTGCTCATATGCTGTAGTGTGTGAGGTCACTATAGTGCAGATAGGCCTACACAAAACACTGGGAGACTTTTATGTAGACCCACAACCAGACTTCCTATTTCAATGATGCTTAGAAACTTTAATTACAGAAATAAACCTTAGGCAAATCTATAAAGACCTTATGCCTAGTACTCAAAATTGCGCACCGCTCTTTTCCCTACAGCACATTATCAATAACGTGTTCATTTGCTTTGTCTTCCTATGCATCCCAAAAAGTTGTTTATGGAGGGAGCTGTCTGGCACCTATCAGTTAGTACTTTGCCGAAGCGATGAGCACAAACCCAACAAGCAATAAACAAAATATCAGATAAATATTAAGATCTGGGGTAATAATAGGGAAAAGAAAAAAATAAAATAAAATGCATAAAACAATTAGAATTTTCGCATATATTGTTGTTTCTGAATTTGTGACAATATCTTTAATATGAAATTTGGTACAAATATCCATTATATGTTTTTAAAGAAATGGACAAACTCAATCCTCTGAGACCTGTATGAATCTAAACTGACACACTGTCACCCACCAAGTTGGTAAACTGATGTGTTTTCATTATTTCTGATTTATTATTAAGCCTAGCTTGTATTGTTAACTTTGTTGTTACATGAATGTCATATCCAAAAAGATACAGTTAATCAGTTTAGCCTTTTGATCATTTGACATTTATTTAAAATTCCTCATTACTTGCTCATCAGTTCTGTAATGAGCAAAACTCACCTTGTTTGCGTCAGGTTACTTTCAAATGATCCTGATGTGAGGTGTAATGTCTATAAACTCAAGCGCAGCTCCGAAAGAAGTAAATAAATTTTTTCCATTATGAAAGTGAGCGGACCTCACTGTCTGTGTCAAAGATTATAAGTGTCAACTTGAGCCTGAAATCACAGCAGCTCAAATTAATCAGCGTGTTAACCTCATCTCGTTGTCAGCGCTGAGGCCAATTTACGGTCATGGGATGGTAATTGATGAGATATGGCATTACCATAAGCAGTCCCACTGCCTGTAAACTTATAATTGGAGTTTCTGTAACAATGCAGGGGGGTTAAACAAAGGATTAATCATAATTAACAAAATATTACTTTTCCCATATTAAACAGTTGGTTCCCACCTTTCTATTAACATAAATTTGTTTGCAGTAATTTACTGAATTATTGAAAATACCAACCCAAGTCAAGACCCTGAAAAAATCATTTATTCCTCTCTGTGCATTCATATTGTTTGTGTGTGTGTGTGTGTGTGTGTGTGTGTGTGTGTGTGTGTGTGTGTGTGTCAATATGTTTCCATTATATGCAATTAGCTTGAATGAAATAGCCTGAAGTTTTCCAACAAGTAATAAAATGAAATAAAAAATTTGACATTGTTTTCCAAGCTGTTCACAAGTGTGCCATGCAGCAGGGTAACACAGCATCACACTGTGATTACATTTACAGATTGATACAATGACAAGGCCACATTATTTTACAGGCCGTAAGAAAGCCTAATTACAGCAAACTGAGGAAGGAAAACCTTAATTTTTGTCTTGGCTAAATGTATAGTCAAGTCACCTTGAATGTTAAGGGAAAAAAACTCAATTGTTGTTTATACTCATTGAACATTATAGCAGTGTAAATCTAGGATGTAAATGGATGTCAAACCCTTTTTTTATGTACTGTCACAATCTGGCATTCAGTATCAAAATAAATGGACATGTTTTGAGAAACAGAAAAAAAACTAAACATTGCTATTTTTTCTTAATGGAATGACTGTTTGGCTAATGATGGTCTCTAACTTGAAGTCATTGCTTATTTGTCTTACCTCCACACTACCCATCCCACCTCTGGCCGAGCAGCAGTCTATCATTTCTTTTTCAGAATGAATGCAGGTGGCCCACCTACCCTGCAGAAGCATGTAATTACAAGGTACTGCATCACAACAGTTGATCAAATGTTATAACCACAACCAAACTGACTGCGTCTCCACCCATCCAGGCTGTAGCTGCAGCGGTGTCAGCCTGAGTGTGTTGTTCTGGTAAATCTAGCTCTATGTGTGGCTCAGCCCACCAGATCCAGCCCTGTGCTGACTACTGTGTCCTGGGCTGCAGTAACAGATGTGAAATCACATTACCCAAACGCTGCAATTAGTCTCACTCGCTCGCGGGTTAATGAGTTTGTGGAAATGTGCGACCCATTCCTCATTAGGTAATTTCTCATGCACTGATGAGAGAGGGAGAGAGATGTGGGTATAGCAAGTCAGTGGAAATAGCACATAGTCTGCTGCAACACGTACTGTAGAATGCAGCTTGTGGGGTCTGGAGCTGGACATTTACAAGAGGAAATGCATCACCTAATCATCAATAATGGAATAAGACTCATGAATGCTTTTCTGTCTGATAATGCCTGTGAAGTTGATGTAAAAAAAATCTGCCATATGCACTGTCAAGTCTTCTGTCTTTGCATCCAAGAGTTCAATAACAGAGGCTTCGTAAAGCAGTTTCTGTTGCCCGCTGTGGTTACTTCAATGTGTCTCATTATGGACTGCCTATGCTTATTTCCATGCTGCAAGGCCAGGGAGTGGGCGGGTGAATAGACAGCCCAGGGCAAAGCTCTGTCAGGACACAATGGACGACAGCAAAAGAACTAATTAGCAATCAATTACCGACGTGTTTCTGTCCTGCACCTTTTATCTGGTTAGAGTGTAGAGCAGGTTACCACTCAACATGTCCCATTCACACACACACACACACACACACACACCACCTGCCGCCTATGTATGTGTGTGTGCAGCAAATGTGTGTGGTGTTTGGTGAATTTGGATTATTGCAGGGATGTGTGTGGTAGCCCGGTGATACATGGTTTAATGCAAGAAAATGTAACGTCTCTCTTGTGTGAGATAAAGGTGAAAAATCTTCAAATTAAGCCAATTTAGGCCTTTAGAGGAAGTTGCCTTTCACCGTGCTGCGCCTTAGAGTGTAAAAGACAGTTGTTCATTAGCCTCATCTGTGCCAATCAGTATCTAAACTCTCCTTTGTTGCATCTCATTCTGTTCTTCTGTTCATCGTTGTGATTACTTGAAGATGATCTTAGTTTAGACGGAGGAGGAGATTTTTTTGCATTACAGAATGTTCAATCTACACCTTCATAAAAACCAAGATAGATAAAGTGGATTTAGTCTTAACCTAATTTGGGCATGTGGCTTGCTCATTTCAGCATCTTCCTCTCCTCTGCTACGTAACACACACACACACACACACACACAGGCACAAACAGGCACACACAGTGACATCTGGGGGGGGGGGGGGGGGGGGGTGAGGAGGCTGCGAGTGCCTCTCATCATAACAACTCTGCATCTCAACAACCTGCATCCATCATCATCAACACTAACATCTGCTCTGAGCCTCAGCCTTAAATCTCCTTCTACACCCCCAACCCTTTACCTCTCTCCTCCTTTCTTACTCTCTCCTTTACTTCCTCCGCCTCTGCTCTGTCCACATTTTTCTCACGAGAAGCCACTGCAGCTGCCTTTTTTAAAAACCACTCTGCTCCATCTGCTTTGACTCTCATCCAAATTCCCTCATCTGCAGAGTGTGTGTGGATGTGTTTTCATTTCAACCATCCTTAAAATCAATATTTAATGATGATGTTATCAGTGCTTTTATGTGTAATTTAGCCAGATTGTCAGTATGAATGAGACACTGTCAGCTTTATGGCATCAAGCATTTATTTTCTGTTAATGGGTGCTCCTGGTGGGACACAAACCAAAACCCAGTGGACGTCTGATGGATTTGTCTGTTCCATTTCTGTTTACGCATGCATTCACAGCCATGTGTGCATGCATACAGTAAAAACACACACACACAAAGTCTAGTAACAACTTGAAAAGTATAAAACATTGTGAATAAATGCCATAAATGCCAGACTTTGATGTGACATTTCTTGCTTCATAGAACCAGAATAAGACAATGAATGAGGCACTGAATGTAACTGCTTAATGTCCCATTGGTTTGATCTCAAAAACACAATCAATCAATCAAAGCAACTATTTGCTTCAAAACAGACTGCATTGCCTGATTTTGACATTTTCCAAAGCCATGACAATCACTT